TTTTTAAAAAAAAGAAAAGCCTGGCTGACTGGCAGACAACAAGGAGCTGAAGACAGGACGTGTGAGGCTGAGGTTCTAGCAAAGACTAGTGGATAACATACAAAGGAGGCTGGTCCAGGAGAGGGTAGGTTTCAGGGCTGTTGTACACACGGTTGCTATGAATCGCCAAGTGACTCTACGGCACATAACAACAACGTGGTAAGATAATCTAAGAAGGCCTGGGAGCACACAAGTTCAGTGCCTGGCTGCTGTCAAGGTCACAGGCGCTTCCTGGGAGGAAGAGGAGGTGACGTGCTTCCAGGAAGATTACGGCTGAGCGAGCTCACTGGGATGGTCCTGTCAGGTGAAGGGGTGATGATCTGGAACTGACACAATGGCCACCGCCGTCACACAGAGTCCAGCTGATAGTGACCCTGAAGAACAAGCGAGAGCTGCCCGTGGGGCTTCACTAGGGAAGCAGCCGCCACAGTTTTCTCCCATGCAGCAGCTGCTGGGGTCGAACCACCAACCTTTCCATTCACACCTGAGTGTTTAGTTCACTGCCACCAACGTTCCCAACGACACCCAACAAAGCGCTCAGTAAAAATGCACCCTCTCCAGTGCATCAGCCCTGTGTCTGTTCAGCGTTTCCCCCACCATCACGTCTGTCTGTCTGGTTCCAGAACTGGGCTATCACCCTGAAAGGAAACGCCGTCGTTTCATCTTTCAGATCACCTTTATTTAAAGAAATAAATGCTTTAACTCAGAGTTGGAAGGATCTTATTTTTCCAGTCTCCATCTGGCCAGGTTATTTTCGTGACAAACTACAAAGAATTGGGAGCTTTTCGTTGCCCTGTGGTGGCACGTTGCCTTTCTGACTTGTTCCTCGAGGTGTATTTTCCTTCGTACCCTGACACCCCCCGCATTCTCCGTAACACACAGCACCTTGCGGGAAAGCTCTTGCTGGGGTCCTGTAGTTTTTAGCACTCTAGCACGTAAGCTTTCTTTTTCTTTGGTCATTTAGGTTCACCTTCTTTCACAGAAGAGGCGTAGTAAAACCCAGCTCCTTCCGTTGTTCTTATTAGGGGAATGCACGCCCTTCGGCGTCTACTAACATGACTTGTGTAACCAGGAGGCCAGAAGAGCCAGCTGGTACCTGGTTGCTTCTCCTTACAGCTCTGGCTCAAAGAGGCTGAAAGGGGACCCTGGGGAGAGTGGAGGAAGCAGGGGGGCAGGGGAACCCAAAATCATAAACAAAGGGGGGAAAGGGGCCAAGCTTCTCGGTCTACAGAGGCACCACAGGATCAAAGGGCAGCCTGTGGCCAGGGGATGGGGGGTGGAGGGGGGGTGTCAGGCTCAGAGGTGCAAAGGGAGAGGGAAGGAGGGTGAGAACAGGAAACAGGGAGGAAATAGCAAGTGCAGGTACAATGTGAGGGCTGGAATCAATGTCAAGTCTGTGCATTCCCCTGGAAACTTACTCAGTCACAATAAAAACATCCATTTTCAAGGGTGAAGAAGAGGTAAGCTCTGGTGGCCTAGTGACAAGAAGCTGCACTCCAATCCCAGAGGTGCGTGGTTCGAATCCACCAGATGCTCTGCTGGAGAAGGAGGGACAATCTCTTCAACTACCAGTCAGATCCAATTTGATGGTACACATATTATAAAAATAATAGAAATCCTGTAAGAAATTTTAAAAAGGTGTGAATTTTTAATTTATACTCCTTTTTGAAAGAATAGTCTTTTATCTTTTCTTTTTAAATTTTTATTTTATTATTTTCTCTGTGTGTGTGTGTGTACTATCAGATCTGAGAGGTATGGCCCCTCCTTCTCTGGCAGATTCGAACCGCATATCTCTGGAATTGCAGTGCAGCTTCTTGCCACTAGGCCACCAGAGCTCCCCTTGAAAGAGCAGTCTTTTATCTTGTTAATTACCATGTACTTATAGATGTGAAGAGCTTTAGAGTGAACTGAAGAAACAATGAGTTAGAGCGCTCTGGTGGTCTAGCGGCAAGAAATTACACTGCAATCCCAGAGGTACCCGGATCAAATCCACCAGGTGCTCTGCTGGAGAAGCAGGGGTAATCTCCTTCTGTACCAATCAGGTTCGATTTGACAGTACACACACAAAATAGTTACTTCTTTTAAAAAAAGAGGGAGGAAGTCACTCAGTTGCCCAGCCAACAAGAGCTGGAATTTACAACAAATTGGATTTGAGACCTGATGGCGCCTAGCATACCCCCTCGGGCATCGAATATTCCCAGGGTAGGGATGGGGGTAGGTAGTTGGGGAGCACTAAGGAGGCTTCTGAGCCCCTCACTCTGCCCAGTCGTCGCCTTAACTACCAGTCTCTCTCCCTTTATACTGGGGCGATCTCTTTACACCGCAGCCCATCCTCTGAAAGCATGCGCAGGCTTCTTCCTCTGACCCACCCTGTCACCTCACTGTTTGTTCAGTTGTAGAGGTGGATTCTGTCCCATGCTCAAAGGGTGACCCAAGGCCAGCTTGTAGCATCTCCCCCAGCCTTGAACCAGAAAGCCGAATGATTCTTAAAAGTACTTGCATCTAGAGAGCTTTGGTGGCCAAGCAGAAAGAAGCTGCACTGTGATCCCAAAAGTGTGCAGTTCAAATCCACCAGATGCTCTGCTGGAGAAGGAGGGGCAATCTCCTGTACCAGCCGGATACAACTTGATGGTACACAACAGGAAGAAAGAAAAAAGGGGAGGGGAGAAGAAAGAAAAAAAGTACTCACATCTTTACTGACAGATAATCTAGACAGGAATGAGATTGGTATACAAGAAAACACTTGCTACGTAGCCTTTTCTGTATACGTATTATTTTAAAACCATTTTTGTTGTTACTGAACACACCAATTCCTGTCCCAAATCCCACCAGCATGACCCCATCAGACTGAATGACTTTATATATCAAAACCGTCTTTTTGGCTTTGCCAGAGGGTGGCTAGCCCCACCACGCAAGCATTCCATGAACAGGTCGATGTGAAAGTGGACCTTAGATTCAGACAGCTAAGCCCTCGACATGTTGTTACGCTGGGTCGCCTGCGACTCACAGTGACCCTGCAAACAGCAGCTCTGAAGCTGCCCTGTCCTGAGCCAGTCTCACTGACTCCGATACACCTACCCCCACTGCCCTAGTTACTGTGTCCATCTCTCTCCTACGGAGTCTTCCTCTCCAGTGCGGTTGGCGTAGTGCTTTAAAAACCACTGGGCTGCTAGCCAAAAGGCCAGGGGGTGGAGCCCGCTGGCCTCTCCAGGGGATGTGTGCGCCTCTGATTTACAGCCCTGGCGAGCTCAGGGGGCGGTCCCGCTCCTGCACGGCCGGCACCGACCAATGGCGGTGGGCTTTGCGACTTAGGACTCGAAGGTGCCCTCGCAGGGCGGCGAGGACTCACGGAATTGCCCACGACGACGCAGGAAGCTGGGGACTTGCAGGCTTGAGAAGCCGGCGAGGCAGCTCTGCTCTGGCCAGGAAGGTCAGTGCCAGCCAGGGGGCACGGACTCGACGGCACGGGGTGCGGTTTTGGTTTGGTAAGCCTGGTTCCTCACCTCTGGAATCAAGATACCATCATCGTGCAGCAGATGGGAGGTTTGAGGAGCGCCGTCAGGACTGACCCGGCTGAACCTCCGGGAAGGTCTTCCTCCCGCTGGGCAGCTGGTGGGCTCGGACAGCTTGTCTTTGTGTTAGCAGCGCAACCGCTGACCCTCTAGGCCACGGGTGGGTGGGGGCTGCAGTGCCCGTGACTGCAGTGCAGCCCGAGGAGGCGCGCTCGCGTCCATGGTGCTGAGGGCCCACCTCCAGCCCACACGTGGAGAATGTGTGTAGCCTTACATGTTGGGGTGCTGATGGTGGAAAGGTCGCCACTTCAAATCCACCAGCTGCTCCGGAGAGATGAAGCTGTGTCCCTTCAAAGGTTCAGTCTGCGAGCACGGACGGGGGTGTGCCATCTGGCACAGTTACCTGGGCGGCGGTACGTCTGGGTTCGTCTGTTGGGAGTGCCAGGAGTTACGAGCTAACTGCCGATGAGCAGGTTGAAGGTTGAGTTCACCGAGTGCCCCCTTGGAAGAAGGCCACGTGCTCTACTTCCAACAGCCATTGAAACCCTCAGGGCGGCAGTGGAGCCGGACACACGAGGGCGCCGTGACCGCATGGATGGGAGCTGGCCCTCAGCGAGCCTGGGCCTTCTGCAGACCCGCACTCTCATCCGCCCCGTCATGTCATCGTCCCCAGGTGGCCTGCCACACACACTGGGCCTGGCCATCGTGGGACGAAGACCCATACCCTAATGCGGGCGGCAGAATGGGGCACACTCCACGAAGCCGTCCAGGGGCCGGCTCAGGCCCTGGTACCGACTGGAGGCACCCCTCTTGGGGACAATGTAAGACCTATCCACCCCCCGCTCCCAAACTCAAGAACCACACAGGCAGGAACAACTGGAGAGTGCTGTTTATTGCCCCCAGGTCCCCTTCTCCCACCACACCAGGTCAGGGGAGAGCCAATACCCCAGTCTCTGTGGGGCGCATTTGCACAGGGGGCTGGTTCCAGGTCTTCGCCCCTCAGCTTCCCAACCCAGGAGGAGGCTTCGGCTAGAGAAAAACCAAGGGGCTCTGCAAGGGAGAAAAAACATGGGGGCGGGGGGCCAAGGGTGGGGAGATTAAAAGAGTCTAAGAGCGGGCGGCCCTTGCGCTGCGGGGGCTCGCCACCAGGAAGGGCCGGCCCCTCGCTCCTGAAGTGCCTAGGTGGCCACGCGGCGTCTGACTTGTGACCTGGCAGGTCTCCCGGCCTCTGACATTCTCACAGGCCAAGCACCTGGAGGGAGGGCCGCAGGCCGGGTGGAGGGGGCAGGCCACGACGGTGGGCGCGGTCCACGGGGAGAGACGGGCGGGCCCGAGCGGCCCTCCCCACGGCCCACGTGGGCAGCACGGCGGCGCAAGGGCCCTGGCTGCACTCCTGTGCGTCCCCCTGGGTCTCTGGATCCCTGCCAAGACCGGGGAGCCCAAGGGGCCCGGGGAGCCCAAGGGGCCTGCCCACGCCCCCGGGCGGCCGGCCCTACCGCGCCTCGGCGCGGCACTCGCCGCAGCGCACGCCGCCGTCCTCCTCCTCCTGCTCGCCCTCGTCCTCGCCGCCCTCCCGGTAGAAGCTCTGTCCGCAGCGGCTGCAGACGGCGGGCGCGCCCACCGCGTGCACCAGCTTGTGCCTGCGCAGCGCCGCGCCCTGCACGAAGCCCTCGCCGCACTCCACGCAGATGTGCGCCGGCTCCTCGCCGCCCGCCGC